CATTTTGGAATGACATACATAAAACTTACAACTATGGAGCGGTTGGTTGGATGGATTGCTGTCTCCGTGGATTTGTGTGTCTGAGTGTGTTTTCTTCGGGTAAATATGTAACGGAATTATGGATGTTTTTTCTTCTTCTGCTGCCTTCTTTTTCAAACACCAAAACAACAAACGGATGTGCGAATGCGTGTGTCTCGTCTGGCAATAAGGACTAACAAACAAAACTCTGCCAAACAACATCTCATCTCAGTGTACTTATCATTATGTAAATTGTATTACAGAGAGAACTTCTCAACATTGCTTTGATGTTGAATCATCAACGGCTTCGGCGGCCCTAGCAAATGAAGATACAGATGTAAATAACTAAGGAGAGGACAAAAGTCGAACAGGCAGAATATTTGATACTCTATACCATTCTATATATTTGAAACGTTGCTTTTGAGATTTGTATAAAATAAATCATAATAATTATACTTGACTTTAAATCTGTGTTACGATATTAGTTGGGTTAAAAATTGTAAATCGGATAGTAGATATATTTTAATTTGAACCAATTTCCAAAAAATGTGGAATGTTTTTTTTTTCTTATCTAGAATATATGTGATTTTACTATTACACGAAATCTCACATGAAGTTAAAGTTTATGACAGCGAGTAGAATGGGCCTCTACTTTGGTCTGAAAAAATACCAACATTTGCATTCTATCGAAACGCTGAAAATAACTTACAGGTGAAATCCAAAATACACAAAAGACGAAATTCTGGCTTTTTTATGCTGATCTATGCTATCTAGGATAAGGAAATCATATAGATGAGTCTAAATTTGGAGATACAGAGGGGAATCATGATCGCAAAATTTTTACAGGTTCAAGGGTAATATCTGGGCATTATTGATCCATAATAATTACATAATTACAAAATCGAAATGTTCCAAAACGGATTTGGACATGAGGGGACTTCTAACATATTATAGTGTTGTAGGGTATAACATTGTCGGTCCCGCACGTCTATAGCCTTGGCTTACTTGTTTTCATTGTACATATGAAGTATTTTTGTTCGGAGACTCACAATGGAATTTGATCTGAAATCATTGTTACTTTGACACTTTTCCTTAAAATTGAAGGATAAATGGAGATTTTGACTCGGATTGGATACGTGTTAAATTAACAGTAAAATAAGTTGAAACGTCGTTTTTGCCGTCAGATGTATACCTTCAGCCAATGTTCGATTATTTAAATATATTTTGACTTCTGTTTTGATTATTCAAATTATTGACCCTGTATGGAAAGGTTCAAAAGGAATGGTCCAATATTGTCTATGTCGTATCAGACCTATATAAATATGATATAAATATTGGGACGTGCCAGGTATGGACTATATTGTGGATGAGGTACCAGAAGGGATTCACAGATATATATCATCTCCAGATCTTGTGCAAGATGGCGCAAGTCTAACTGCAATCGCATGGTAATTTCGCATGAGCTTCATGGATATTCAAAATGTTGACCCTTTGTGGGAGAGGTACCAGAAGGAGTGGACCGATATATCCCATCTTCACAGCATAAGGATTTCGGATTTTATGATCGTTTTGGTTATTCAAAACTTTGACCTTTTGTGGGGGAGGTACCAGAAGATATTTCTAACAGATCTTGTGTTGATGGAAATAATCAGATATACCAAGACTGAATGGAATCAGATGTTCATTTGGAGTTTTATGAGATTCATGAATGTACAAAATTTTGGAACCTTTGTGGGGAAGGTAATACAGGGAGTGAATCGGTATATTCCATCTTCACACGAGGTCTTGGGTTCACAAAAATATTTTGATGTGTCTAATTATAGGACAATCGGACTCTTACATTTTATAAGAGTAATTATTAATATTACATACATCTCATAAGAGTTATAAGTATTTAAAATGTTTACCCTGTAGAGGAGATACTGATGGATTGGATCGATATTGTCCAAATCGGATTATCCTTTTTTTTATACCAGAAGAAGTGGACCTATACTGCCGATCTCTGTACTCATTCTAACTGTGATAATAATATTACGATGTACCATTTGTGCACAAAATCGTATACTGCCTTCGAGAGTTATCGTGCGCACCAGCCAGACAGACAGACATCGCTAGATTTCTGTTCTTTGATGGCTTATAGTAAAATTTTATGATGTATTTGACGCCATTCTTCTAAATGTATGCTTTTTTGGAGAGCTTACAAAGTACGGCTTTAACCCTAAAATGTGTTCTACATATATATGTATTTCTGGTGTTTAGGTATGATTTAGACTCATGTTATCTTTTGGGACCTATTGTAGAATTCTATGACAAATACTTTTAAATAAAGTTTTTTTTGATTCGCTCTAGGGTTAAATTTTCGACCACTATATAACCAAAATCCACGAATTTCGAGGAATTGTAATCCGAAAATTTCCAAAATTGTCGAACGTTCTATCTCTATTTTACTTTGCCGATGTATTTGTTTTCTCCCTTTTGCTCTTCTAAAACAGTCCGTGGGATTTTTCCCGTAAATATTTATATATGTCGCACACCATTGAGTGTTATGGTCAGAATGCGTGATTTTTAACAAATTTCATCGCACACTCCTTCCATTTTATGGTCAGTTTAAATGATCCACTTATGGGGCTTTTCAGGCTATTTTGACTAATTACGCACAAAATTTACATTGTGGAACATTAAGACACTGACAGGCATAAGTTAATAGCGAACTGAAGGAAATATCGCTACTCTATCATTGGTGTTCGCAGCAATCGGACTTCAATTACTAAGCAATGTGAAATAGTCAAGGTATGAAGCCTTTCAATATATAGCTGTAGCAGGATTTGAAGCCAAACCACCTACCGTATCGCAGATTTTTTTCATTGATGGGCTCTTGGAAAGTTAGTCACTTTTTTCAATAAAAAATTGTGTTCGAGGATGAAGCTCAATTTTAGCTCAATGTGGTAGTTTGTTGCGGTTTATAGGCTTGTGGCATCATTAGATCGTTCTTCATTAAATAATTTTCGTATCGTACCGTAAGTGTGATTCGCGAGAAGATACCGTGAGATGATATCCATTTTTTCCCCAAAATTCAAATTTGTGAGATCAACAAGATGGTGCCACATGTCACACAGCTCGCGTAGTAATTCGCTCATGGAAAGGTGAATTCGTTTAAAATTTTATTTCACGTTCGGGATCGGTCAGTTGACCGACTTGATCCATCGATTTAAAGCCTTTAGACTTTTTTGCGGGCTATATCGATGCCCATTTCGATTGTGGAGGGCTAAGTTGACGCATTGCAAGAAAGCATTTCTTTGTGAGATACCGACCGAAATGTTGAAAGGAGTATGCCAAAAGTAGATTAAGCGATGTACCGTTTGCATGAAATAATCCTCATACATTAACTTATATGGATTTAATTTCATTTTAAATAAAGATTTTATATATTTTATTTGGTTTATATATTTATTTAATTTCATTTTATTTATTTATTTATTTATTTATTTTTTTTTTTTTTTTTGAAGAAACTTTCTTATTCTGAAAATCAACTATTGTGAGGGCTGTACTATAATGTGGACCTATGTGGATAACTGTTAGTTAATAGCGTTTTGTGCTCCCATATATTTCCCATTTTCACACAAATCCGAGTGACCTAAAATTCTTTTATTTCTTCACATACTCACATATTCTACGGATATACGAATATACAAAGACATATATTTTTTGGTTCTTAAGTACATTTTTCAAGGAGTTACAAACGGAATGGCAAACTTAATATAACTTCCATACTATGGTAGAGAGTATAAAAAGTGAGTAAGTGATGAGAACAAATAGAAGTGTGTACTTTCTTGTGCGTTCGTTTGTATTTGGTGTCTGCTTTTGCTTTGGCTCTATAACTCCCATTCAACATCCTTTAGCTTGTAATTCTTTTTGGAGTCGGTATTATTTGTTGTTGATTTTCCTTTTTGCCTTCATCTCTTCTTTAGTACATACTTCAAATATGCAGTTATTAATCACAAAGGAACCACGCGTACAGAAAAATAAAATGTATAAAAAGAACACAAAAATAACAGCAACAACAACAACAGCATAATGTGGTACTACACATAGCAATGTATTATTGCTGCTCTCCTTACTCCCCTCGATGGGGTTCGTTCTTTTCGAACAGGAAATACTTGAATGGCAAATAATAAAACGACAGCCAACCATGTACAGAGGATATTAACGAAAACACACGCACGCTCTTTCACACTCACATACAGATAGCTAGATATTCATCAAGGAATGTGTCCGCCAGTACATGCATACATACACGATGATTATTATTGTATTTTGTTTCCTCTCATCCCATGGCAATTACGATGCAATGCTAGAGGAACAGTGGTATTTATAGGCATTTGAGCTTGACTTTGGCCTTCAAAAAGGAGGAATAGAAGTTTTCCGATGGAAATCCTTATTTTCCATAGAAAAACTTATATTTAGCCAGGCTGAATATTCAAGCAAGCTGAATAGAAGTTTTCCCAAGGAAAACCTTATTAAGCCAGGCTGAATAGAAATTTTCCTATGGAAAACCTTATTCAGGCAAGGTTTGCAGAAATTTTCCTATTGAAAACCTTATTCAACTAGGCTGACATTTTCCTATGGAAAAGCTTATACAGATAGGCTGAATAGAGGTTATGTATTATATTGCCAGGATGAATCAATGCCATTTTAATCAACGTGTCATCATATGTCACCCATTGCGTTTCGGTTAATTTTTCTACGGAAAACCTTATTCATCCAGGCTTAATAGAAATTTTCCTATAGAAAACCTTATTCAGCCAAGCCGTATAGAGAGTTTTCCGATGGAAAATCTTATTCAGCCAGGCTGAATGGAAGTTTTTTGAAGGAAAACATTATTCAGCCAGGCTGAATAGAAGTTTTCCTTTGGAAAACCTTGTTCAGCCAGGCTGAATAAAAGTTTTCCGATGGAAACCTTTATTCACCTAAGCTGAATATACATTTGCCTATGAAAACCCTTTTTCAGCCAGGATGAATAGAAGTTTTCCTATGGAAAAGATTTTACAGATAGGCTGAATAGGGGTTATATATTCTATTGCCTCGATGAATCGATGCAACTTCAATCACTGTGCCATCTGATTTCACCCATTGCGTTTCGGTTTATTTGCCGCTCTGTTGTTCTTTGAATAATGCTAAAGAATTTAAGTATTTTCATTTCCTTCTTTTTGTCAGTGTCTACCCTCACCCCAGCGTCTCTTCCTTCGTTGTGCTCAACCGAAAGCATGCAAGAGTGCCTGACATGAATACGTCTCGCTGTTGTACAAGAAGCGTTAATAACACAGCGCTTATCTGTTGCCAAAGAATTTACAAGCAATAACAATGACATCTTTGCCAGAAACATGGATTACTGGCAAAAGGGAGCTACTGCTGCTACTACTGGCTAAAGACGAAGCAGGAGAAGCAACTTCAGCTTCAACTCCCGAGAAGAGAAAACCACAGCAGCTGCCTGGAATCCTAAAGCCAAATGGAACAACAAGCAAGCAAACAAACAAAAGTGGTAATGAATGGGATGCACCATCAGTAGTCGGTCGTTGTCGACCAACAAACATGTTCTCTCTCTCTCCCATCGGCTTTTGTTCGTCATGCAGCCATGCACAACGTTGCATGTACGACAACGACTCCTTGCAACTTAATTTAACGAAAAACTGAGCTTTATCATCCGGATGCATTATGAACGCATCAAATGAAAGATAATACCATTGTTGTCATTCAAGCTGATGTTGGTGGTGGTGGATGGTGGTAGTGCCAGCACTGGCAGCGAGAAGGAACAGAAAGAAATGTCGATGCCGGAAAGCTTATCTTAATACGACGAATATTCTTGTTTGCAGTTATATAAATCCTTATTGCTGGAACAAAGACTACGACAGCAACGACGACGAAGATGCAGAAGAACAAGTCAAAATAACAGGAAGAGTATTTCACAAAGGAAGTCAGGCGATTACAATTAACACAATTTGTCTTCAATTAGGCATTTACAAGCAACAACACACCACAATCCGCATGACACCATTAAGGGGCCAACCCAAAGCCGCTCTTCTTCTTCTTCTTTTCTTAGTCGGAGTGTAGGTGTAAGTAAGTGCGCTTTAATCAAGAAACTATCTACATTATTTTCCAGCAACATCTCCGCTACAGCCATCAGCAGTATTTTTGCCTTCACAATTTCCGGCCCCAACACCCGCTGCCGCCGACGCGGCTGCCTTCTCCGTTTCCTTTACCGTAAATGTTACAAAATATCGTTTATTTGAATCCAATTTATCGGATGGCAGTGATATTAGCTGTTTACTCTTTCCATGTGACAATTCTAATGACACTTTACCGCCACACCCGGTGCCGGTAGTGAGAATTTTCGGTAAATAAAAACTTCCCACGCCAGTCTTTTTATATGGGCCAAATCCAAATTTCGGCATGGTGTGATGATTCATCATGGGAACTGTAATGAGAAAAAAGAAATAGAAAGAAGAAGAAAAAGAAGACGAAAATTAATACATTTATTTCAAAACGAAGACATTGCCATTCAGCAAAATTGAATATCAATGATTATTGTTAAAAACCAATCTAATTTGATTATTTCTCTGTGGGCAATAATTAATTGGCGGTAATGGAGTGGAAGTGGGTGTCAGTGACAGAAATGGAAAATATTACATTAACTTAAAATAGAAAATTTTCATTTATCAAAAAATAGTATAATTTTCCTAATCACAAATTTATTAGATTTCAAAGACCTGAGACATGATTTATGAGTAAAGAGATATATCAGAGATTCCTTACAGACGAGCTGAAGGAGCTTTCATAAAGGATGTGGGGTCCAAAGTGTCTTCAAAGATAAGCCGGTGGCAAGGGAGTCTTCAAAGACGAGCAAGAGGCTTTAAAGACTACCATGGAACTGGAGGCCTTCGAGACTTTATTACTAATCTGATGGTGAGGTAGTCTTCAAGGACGAACTGGAATTCAGTCAGTCTGTAAAGACGAGCTGATGGTCAGGGAGTCCGTATAGACGAGCTGATGGTCAGGGATTCTGTATAGACGAGCTGATGGTCAGGGAGTCTGTATAGACGAGCTGATGGTCAGGGAGTCTGTATAGACGAGCTGATGGTCAGGGAGTCTGTATAGACAAGCTCTTGGTCAGGGAGTCTATATAGACAAGCTGTTGGTCAGGGAGTCTATATAGACGAGCTGATGGTCAGGGTCTGTATAGACGAGCTGATGGTCAGAGTCTGTGTAGACGAGCTGATTGTCAGGGAGTCTGTGTAGACGAGCTGATGGTCAGGGAGTCTGTGTAGACGAGCTGATGGTCAGGGAGTCTGTGTAGACGAGCTGATGGTGAGGGAGTCTGTGTAGACGAGCTGATGGTCAGGGAGTCTATGTAGATGAGCTGAAGGTCGGGGAGTCTGTATAGACGAGCTGATGGTCAGGGATTCTGTATAGACGAGCTGATGGTCAGGGAGTCTGTATAGACGAGCTGATGGTCAGGGAGTCTGTATAGACGAGCTGATGGTCAGGGAGTCTGTATAGACAAGCTCTTGGTCAGGGAGTCTATATAGACAAGCTGTTGGTCAGGGAGTCTATATAGACGAGCTGATGGTCAGGGTCTGTATAGACGAGCTGATGGTCAGAGTCTGTGTAGACGAGCTGATTGTCAGGGAGTCTGTGTAGACGAGCTGATGGTCAGGGAGTCTGTGTAGACGAGCTGATGGTCAGGGAGTCTGTGTAGACGAGCTGATGGTCAGGGAGTCTGTGTAGACGAGCTGATGGTCAGGGAGTCTGTGTAGATGAGCTGAAGGTCGGGGAGTCTGTATAGACGAGCTGATGTTCAGGGAGTATGTATAGACGAGCTGATGGTCAGGGAGTCTATGTAGACGAGCTGATGGTCAGGGAGTCTGTGTAGACGAACTGAAGGTCAGGGATTCTGTGTAGACGAGCTGATTGTCAGGGAGTCTGTGTAAATGAGCTGAAGGTCGGGGAGTCTGTATAGACGAGCTGATGGGCAGAGAGTCAATATAGACGAGCTGATGGTCAGAGAGTCAATATAGACGAGCTGATGGCCAGGGAGTCTGTATTGGTGAGCTGATGATAAGGGAGTCTGTATTGGTGAGCTGATGATAAGGTAGTCTGTATAGGCGAGCTGATGAACAGGGCAAGTCAGTATGGACGAGCTGATGATCAGGGCTAGTCAGTATGGATGAGCTGATGATCAGGGCGAGTCAGTACAGACGAGCTGATAATCAGGCCGAGTCAGTATGAACGAGCTGATGAACAGGGCGAGTCAGTACAGACGAGCTGATGATCAGGGAGACAGTATAGGCAACCTGATGTCAGTGAGGCTGCTGGTGTAGGAATCTGTGTATGTGAGCCGATTGTACGTGTATAGGCGAGCTGAGCTAATAGTCGGGCATTCTGTTGTCTTGGGTTCCAGAGATTCGCTACAGATTAGCTGTACCACAGAGATTCGATACAGACGACTTAGGTCCCCATGGATTATTTATAGACGAACTGGGAGTCAAATAGCCAACAGATATGAGTTGTGTCCAGAGAACATCTACAGACGAGAAATCGATACAGATCATTTGAGAAATCGATACAAATTATTTGAGACACAGACGTTGGCTTCAAGAAGTTTGTGGAACAAAACCTAAAGGCAATGAGTTTTTAATCAGGAGGTTTTATACTTGTACACTAGGAAGTCTGTATATCAAGCCAAGTATTTTAAGATTGGTGTCTAAGGCTTATTTTAATGAGAGTCGTTAAGGGATTTTATAAAGCCTTAAATCGTCCTTGGAGTCTTAAATTATTGTTAAATACAGTTTATATGATCTGGAGTTGAGGGGAGTTTAATGGGAAATTGGCAAAGGAAGTCATTAATTGGCCGGGGAGTCAAAAAATATACTTTCACGTTATATATGAACGCTGGAGAGGAGGATGTGAAGTTGGATTTTCATATTCGTTGTGGATATAAGGCAAATCCTTATCTGGACTTTCCAATTTACCACTTTTTCAGGCATATTAGGGAATAGTTTCTACAATCTATTTTTAAGTTCCTATCTTCCCCAAATTTAGAACAGAACTTCATATGGGGTAATCCCTTTATTAATCATATATTTTATGCCACACCGATATCAATATAATTTGCAAACTATATACAAAACCATAAAAAGGCAAATTAAATACATATCCTTTTTTAATTAGAATATTTTATGCAATGGAATAACTAGTTTCATATTTTTAATTTAAAATTTGTTTACATTTCACTTGGAATATTAAAAACCGCCGCACATAGCTGCAGGCTATGTATGCATTACAGTTAATTAGCAACAATATTGGCCTGTCATTATTCCACAGCCCATCTGTGTGGTGAGATGAGAAAGAGTTTGCGTGTGAGTGTGTTTTGGAGAGAAAGAGCGCACGTGGTTGCCTTTGTGTATTTGCGTAGTTGTGTCGGTGTGTTTGTGTGTGGTAGCATATGTGGCATGGTATATTTATAAGATATGTTAAATTAATTAATTTCAATTGGTTAAATATGAAATTCAGTTGTAGAACCAGACAAATAAATAAATCATGTCATTAACAAAGTTCTTCGATGCGTATCAGTTATAATTTGCTATTCATACCACTCATACGCCACATGGGCACCTAGAAATGCGTTATAAAATAATGATATTGATTTGTTGGCAATAAGATAAAGAATAATTAAAGGAAAAAAGAAGAATTAACACATATGAGGACATTCCAGATCTGAGCATGTTAGCTGTGATACCTACGCCCCTAGGACTGTAGATTAATTTATTGGTAATAGATCGGCACGAAATTGGCCTTGGGTGCGAATAAGTTGGTTTAAGATAATTTTCTTTTTTGTTGCCAGGTCATTTTTGTAAAGGGAGTGTGTCTGAGTACCATAGCTCTCCGCAAAAAAAAAAACACAACATCGAAATAAAACGGTTTCACGGTAGAACCACACTTCTGGCTATTGCTGTGCTTATGAATATTTCGAGCAGATGAAGTGACCATACATTTTTTTAATTCACCTGGAACACATATGTTGATCTTGTATACATTTTGGCTATTTATACGGTTCTTTGGAGAGGTTTACAGTGGATCATTCACAAATTAAAAGGGATAACGAACTGGATGTTTGAATGTGTATCAGGGTTTTATACTTGGATCATTTTAGCTGTATCATACGCAGATGTTTAGGGACTATCATAGCTTTTTAATTCGATCTCTGAAGGACTATCAGAGATACATACGAGAATCTTTAAGGGACTATTAGGGATGTATACGTGGATGTTTGAAGGACTCTCAAGGCTTTATATTGTATATTACTGGATATATCGTAGTGGGATATTTTAAGATTGCAATGGCTCTTAAAACTACTATTAGTGCTTTACTCGTAGATCATTAAGAGCTAATAGCATTATGAGTGGATCTTTTTTGAACTACCAGGGATAGATGGGTGAATCTTTTAAGTGTGATCAGGCCATCGTTCGAGAATGTTTTTCTAAAGTCAAAAATCTTTATTGGAATTAAATTGTATTCCTTTAAAGGAAGATTATAAAAAACATATAGTCTTTTAGATCTGAAAGACTTTATTCATATCTTCTGCCCCTTAGACTACCTTCTCGGAGTGCTTGAAGGGAGCAGTTTTTTTAGATTCGTGTTTATTCGTGTTGTTTTGATGATTCTTTTAAAATTATTCCATTCATTAATTCGCGGTGAAGGATTTATGCCCGTTAATACGTCCATATTGACTCCTTCTATAGCTAATATTGAATAGTTCTCGTTCATTTCGGTCATAAGAACGCACTTGCCTTCAAGTCATCAACAAAGACTGCCTGGTTTTAGAACCCTGGGTAGAAATAAACGATTCGACTCCAAAGACTCCCAAGTCTGCAGCTTGTAAAAATAGGCTCTGCATAAAAATAACAGTGGAGTTCAGAGATCGTTTTTAGAAACTTTAATATAAATAGCTGACGACCTGTTCTTCTAATAGGTCCTGGTTTCCATTCGGTTATCTCTCGTCTTAAGCAACTCTCTGGCTTGCTGCTCGTCTATAGCGATCCGGTGGCCTTTAGCACGTCTATGTAACTCCCACGTCTCTAACTCGTCTTTAGCGACTAACTCGCCCTTAGCTGGTCTGTACAGATTTACTGGCCTCCAACTTGTCTGTTGAGACTCATTGGGCGCCATCTTGTCTGTTGCGACTTTCTAACCTCCATCTCATCTGAGCGACACTCTGGCCTTCGCCTCGTCTGTGGTGATTCCCTGGGATCCAACACGTAAATAACAATTCCCTGGCCTCTAGCGCTGGTCTCTAGCGGCTTTCTGACCTCCGGCTCGACTAGCGCCGGTCTCTAGTGGCTGTCTGACCTCCGGCTCGTCTATGGAGGAGTTTCCATCTAGTTTTTGTAGAACCCCTGACCTTCAGCTAATCTATAA